AACACAATGGTTTGAAAGCAATGTCCAAGACCCTGATGCACGTAAGTTAGCTTACGTTGAATCCTACCAAGTATGTTTGGAAAAAAGATGAAAAACAATGGAACCGTAGAAAACAAGGCAGGTCTCTAGGTAGAGTTGTATACATTCACCCTGCTGCCGGTGAATTATACTATTTGAGGTTGTTGCTTAACCACCAAAAAGGCTGCTTTAGTTTTGACCATTTAAAGACCGTCAAAAACATTCTTCAACCAACTTTTCAAGCTGCATGCAACTCTCTTGGTTTATTAGGAGACGACAAAGAATGGAATAGTGTTATGTTAGAAGCGATTGTTACAGCATCATCTTTTCAATTAAGGGAATTGTTTGTCACATTGGTTCTCTTTTATGATGTTGCTGATCCATCAACTTTGTTTGAAGCACATTGGAAAACAATGTGCGATGACATTTCCAAAAACATGGTTAATGCTTTTGGCTTGCAAGATGTCTCCAAATACCAAGATGAACTAAAAAATTCTCTTCTGTATGAGTTAGAGAAATTGTTTACAGCTTCAAATAGTTCTCTATCAAAGCATCACCTACCACAACCGAACAATCTAATGATGGATAGACTTAAAAATAAGAGTTTAAAAGAAGAGTTAAGTTACGACTCAAAGTCATTGAAACAAAAGCATTCGTTCCTTATCAGCCAGTTAAACAAAGAGCAAAAAAATGTTTATGACTATGTGATGGAAACAATTGACAACAACAAATCTGGCCTCTTTTTTGTGCATGGTCATGGTGGTACATGCAAAACTTTTTTGTGGACTACTATCATTGCTAGAATTAGATCCCAAAATCAAATCATTTTAGCAGTGGCCTCATCTGGAATTGCCTCCCTTTTACTTCCTGGTGGAAGAACGGCTCATTCTAGATTTAAAATTCCTATCAACATCACAGATTGTTCGTTTTGTGAAATTAAAAGAGGAACTCATCTTGCAAAACTAATCACTAAAGTTGTTCTCATTGTTTGGGATGAAGCACCCATGAATCATAAAAAATGTTTTGAAACTCTAGATCGGTCCCTCCGTGATTTTCTTAAAGGGTCGAAACCAGGCTTTGACCATTTACCATTTGGGGGCAAACCGATTCTTTTCGGAGGTGATTTTAGGCAAATTCTTCCTATTGTTCCAAACAGTAACATTGCTGACATTGTTCAAGCTTCATTAACAAGTTCATACCTTTGGTCCCACTTAACTATATTTTTTTTGAAACAAACATGAGGCTTTCAAAAACAGGTCTTGACGAAGGGGAAAAAAAAGAACTTGCTGATTTTGCAAAATGGATACTAGATATTGGAAACGGTACTGTTATCGAATCTATATCTTCAACTGATGAAGCAACCTCTTGGGTTGAAATTCCAAAACAATTCCTTATCCATTTTTATGAAGATCCCATCAAAGCAATGGTTTCAGCTGTGTATACAAATTTCAAAACCAATTTCCGAGATGTTTTATATCTAAAAGAAAAAGCTATTGTGACACCACGAAATGATACAACCACTGACATAAACACTTTTGTATTGGGTATGGTCCCTGGCGAAAGTCGTACCTATCTAAGTTTTGATTCGGTGTCTTCTACAACGGAAAATATAGAAAATGTAGATGTTCTTTATCCAATGGAATTTTTAAACCAACTTGATTTACCTGGTTTACCGGACCACAAGTTGGCTTTAAAAGTTGGTGCCCCAGTGATGTTGATCAGAAATTTAAACCAAAGTGGTGGGTTGTGCAAGGGAACACGGTTGGTGGTAACGCAATTAAACGACAGAGTTGTACAAGCAAAAATTATTACAGGAAGCAACATTAGTGAAAGAGTTTATATCCGGAGAATAATTACTGAATCATCTAAACATAAATATCCCTTTACCATACGAAGACGACAATTCCCTCTTAAAATTTGTTATGCGATGACAATCAACAAAAGCCAAGGACAATCCTTGAAATTTATTGGCCTGTTTCTATCACAAACTGTTTTTTCTCATGGCCAACTATATGTCGCGCTATCCAGGGTGACCTCAAAAAAGGGTCTCAAAATTGTTATTGCTCACAATAGTGACATGCCTTACGGTTATACAAAAAACATAGTTTATAAAGATGTTTTGAAACATTTACATGACCGGTATACTTTTAGCTTAACATTTTGTCATTTGCTTATTTTTGTAAACATACATCCACCATATATTTGATAAATCACCTTATTCAATGTTTAATTTGATTTACTTCTTAAATTTCATTATTGTAGATTGATGGAGCTGATGCCAATTCGTTTGCTAAAGGCGTATAAACCAGGAAACAAACTGCAAATCAGGGTTTGCAGGATGTGGATAACAAACAGCATAGGAGATGTTCCTCAACCTACAAGTTTTGATGCTATCTTTGTTGATAAACAAGTAAGATTTTTACGCCTTTTTACTTTTTGTCAAATGTTGATGTTTTTTTTATTTTTTATTGCAATATGTAGACGATTAGTTGAACACACTTATATCATCAACCCTATTCTAAAGTTCATAAACTAAATTATCTATGAATTTCACTGCTCAATTATACATCATTTAAAATAATTAATATTTGTCTCATAATTGTTCTGCTATCTACGATATTAGGCCTCAACATTCATTTTTATGACAGATCTAACAAATTCATGCAGGTCGACAACAAATTTTCTTTTCCTTACTTTATTTTCTTTGTTATTACGTATGTACAAATGAAAACAAATTTGTGTTTTTACAACGTTGATTCAATTGCCGGCAATTTTAACTTTTAAAACAATGTTCACTATTATCTTCCATATGATCTTACATAATATCTCTATAGCCACAACTATGCTACACTAACTACTTATATGCTTCCTACACCATCAACATTAAATGTTCTCCCACTCATTTAGTATTCTTGCCTCTTTTTTTTTTTTTTTTTTTTTTTTTTTTTTCTAAAAGGGGGATGCGGTTCATGCAACCATGAACGCTCGAGACATCCAGTTTTTTAAGGAGCACCTTAAGGTTGGTGAAGCATATGAAATCAACAAATTTCGTGTCATTCACAATAGGACATCAAGCAAGATTGTCCCTCATGCCGCCATCCTTGAATTGAATAGGAAAACCGTTATTGTTCCTATTAACAAAACAAGCCAAGATATTCCAATGCAGTGGTTCGATTGCATCAAGTTTGAGCAGCTTCACAACAAAATTGATACAGATGTTGAGCTTACAGGTAACCAAGTTAGTTTTAAACGTTGCTCCAAAATCTAAAACAATCGATCTTTTTTTCTTGCCTACAATCCACACTCACTCTCGATGCTAAATATCACATGTAGATGTATTGGTTGCTTGATGGCTATGCAGCCAACTGAAGAGATCACCATCCAACGCACAAGAATTGCAAAGAAGAGAAATCTTAATTTGCAAAATATCAGGTTACAACTTTGTACATTAAATTCTAAATACAATTTACACCTTTGATACAATATTCATGGAGTATTAAAAATAATCACCTTTTAAATTACTTACAGGGGTGAAACAGTGAGAGTCACCTTATGGGGAGAGACTGCCATAACTTTTGATGACAGCGAAATACAAACATTGTTGCCACCTGTATTTGTTGCTTTGACAAGCCTTAAAGTAAAACTATATCGAGGTGATAACTCAAAATGCCTTATCTAGCTCCTAAAAGTTTCAATTTCTTTATTCTTATCTTTTATGTCTAGGAAACCTTGTTCTCGGAAGCACAGGAGCAACTGTTTATATGTTCAATCCAGACATTCCACAACTCTCTGAATATAAACACAGGTAAACCAACAACCCTAACCAACAACCCTTCTTTAATATTTTTTTTTCATTTATGTTTCTTCATTTTATTTTTCTAATCCAAAACATTTACAAAATAGGTTTGAGCATTTGAGATCACCTGTTCGGATCCTGCCTACCTCAGCAAATATGCATGTAGGCCGTCCTATCGGTGGTAGTGCTGAGTCAAAAACAATCGACAATTTGCTTTTGCTTGATCCTGCTTTACACAGGGTTAGTCTTTCATCACCAACCTATTAACAAAAATCACAACTTTTTAAAAACATAAAGTTTGTGATGCATCTTGCGTAATTGCTTCTTGCTTTGTTTCTCTATAAATTTATTCTCCATGTTTCTGAGGTGATGGTTTAATATCTTTGACCATTTGAAAACCCTTTGATTCAATAACAGAATGAAAGTTTCACATGCAAAGCAACTATTGTTGAAGTCGACTTGGCTAGGGGTTGGTGGTACAAGTCTTGCCCATCTTGCCACAAAACTATAAAGAAAACGCTTGAATCGTTTGAATGCAATGAAACATGGTTTGATAAACAAACTACCCGAACCTTGGTAATATTCTTTTCCATCTATTTTACATTTTTCCGTTATATTTAGTTGTTAAGTCATTTTTACATTTCTTATCGTTATAAAATTCATAACTAATAACATTTTCGTACCTACGTTATCTCAACAATGTCTTTCTGTATATCTTTATACTTCAAGGTTCAATCTACAATCTTTTGAATTCACGATCAGCTATACACACAAACAAAAAGGTTTCTTGAACCAACATATACTTTTACATTCCCTCTTATGCCTCACTTCATCTTTCACTCATAATCTCAATGCATACATACAAATAATTTTGGAGTTGTCTGCATCTCCATTACAATTTAACTAATGTTGCTGTTATCAAAGATTGTGATAATCTACAACTGCACAGTTTTCCCTAATTTTAATGAAGAAAAGTTAAAGTTCCCAAAACAAGCATAATGATGATACATGAATCATACTTCATATATGAAAAGAATTTATACCTAAATAATTTGTCTATCTTTATGTCAATATTCTTCATGCATGCCCAATATTACAATGGTTCTATTACATTTTATAAATTGTTCACAAGATTAGTATTAATAGTAATGATTGTCTGACAACAAGATATTCTCCTCTTGCACAGGTTCAAGATCGACCTTATCGTAGAAGATAGCACGAATCAACACAACTTCCTCATGATAGGAAGACATGCTGAAAAGATGCTTCCTGTGTCTTGCCATACTTTGGTGATAGAGGACGGCTATGACGATCCTTTCATCCTACCACCACTTCTTAAAACTTTGATCGGCGAGACAAAACAATTCCAAATCTCTTTTGGAAATCAAAACACTGACTTCAGGAAAACGGACTTGATCATTAATGGACTACTCCATGACCAAGACCTCTCCAACCCAACGATTGCCTCAATCAAGCCACAAACACCGACTACCACCGCAGGAAAACAAGTTATGAGCCAAACAACCCGTACTCCGTTAACGCCTTCCCAGCTGCTACAACAACGACCCAACCAATTGAACCGGCCAAAACCTCAAAGAGAGTGTTGTTCATTGATGAAGCTAACAAATCTGACAGGTAAAGATTACTCTTAGTTGTATGTTTTGCATTTAATAAAAAACTATCAAACAATCTCTTTGCACCATTGTTTCACCCAGTTTTCCATAACTATCACATTTCTATCTATCCTCATATATTTTCCCTTAATTCACAGCAAGAAACCTCACAACAAGCAAGCAGATACAACCAATTTTGCTAGAATTGCTGGTGAATTCCACAATTTGGTTGTCCCCAAAATTGAACCCACCGACAAAGTGCCGATTGCCGCACTCAAGACAAAATCTCAGACAAAAAAATCAAAAGAAAGGTAAACTACAATTTGTTTTCCACCCACACACCTAAATGGTTTCCATGGTAAGAACGTTTCTTAGAATGTTATTTCTATTTTTTTGTTGTAGTGTGGAAGATGTCCTCTCTCAGAAGAAATGAACAACCACAATCTCCGTCATCCAGTCGTACAAAATGTTCTGCATGTTTTTTGGTTTGAAAATCTGTGGTTGAAAAACTTCGCTACTAGAACAAAAGCACAACACTTTTTATGTTTTTTGTTAAGTGCTCAAACAGATGGCTCACCTGCAGGACATGTATTTTTCCACCTTTACTACAGGGAGAAAATATGTGTGAACTGCATGTTGCTTATGTTTTTTATATGGCTTATAGAAACAACCCTTCTATTTGTTGCTTTAACGTTTTGCCTTCACAAATTTGCTACTTAAACAAGTACAAAACACTTTCTATCATTTTTGTTCCTCTGTTACATATATTTCCCTATCTTCACTACAAGGGCAAAAGATGTGTAAATTGCATTTTGCTTCTGTTTCTACTGCTTATAACGGAAACAAAGCATTTTTTGTCCCCACATCTTTAAAATAAAAAACGTTCCATTCCTTTTCATATAAGCTTGCTTAAATCTATATAAAAAACAAGTTACTTATCTTATCAACTTCATTCACTTATATATCCTTTTGTTCATTTATTATTATGTTGAATTTATTCAGATAAATGTTTCTTATTCATCCAGTTACGATTAGTACACTGATTTCCGCAGCATAGCGCGGGCTTATTTTCTAGTAAAACCTATTTCATGGATATTACAAGAGCCATTATTTTGTAAAACACACCTTTTGGTTCTTCACTGGTTGACTTTTAAGATCTTCGTCCTTGCGACGATTCAGATTATTTAAAATATCTATGGGACGGAATAAACGAAGAACAAAATTAACATCATATGTCAGCCCATATCTTTGTATTTCCTTCTTTTTTCTCGAAATTGAAGAATTGCATATGCGTATATAACTCGATTGTGCTTTCATAATAACTAAATTAAATAGATACTGAAAACTAGCCTCGAGCATAGATGACAATGGCACTCCGGACTCTTATATTATTAAATGACTTCTGTAACCTAATATCAAATTTCGTCACCAACCTTCCAACTGCCATGCATATTATCTCCTATATTCACATTATTTAGTACTATGTCTTCATTCTAATTATGCATCACAAGTTTATAACTACAAATAAAAGGATTGTGAACAGAAGTCTCTGACTGCTCCTGATGACGAAGATTCATGTATTCTTTCTTGAGTTCTTCCATCTCGACATCTTTATTATCGTTTTTCCCATCACCATTTTCCTCTTACCCTCTTCTTCTCCATCTTCTTCCTCATCCTAGCCATCATGCTCATCAAAGTCATCCTCTTCCAGCTCCAGCTCCATCTACATCATAAATCATCAATTAACAACAAAATCACCAAAAAAAAAAAAACCGAATAATTACCGAAACCCAATAACAGAATTTACAAATCAAACTAACATTCAGCTCATCACTGTCAAAATCGCCATCGTCCTGGAATTCACTGTCACAAGCTTTCCTCTCCATTGTGAGTCTGTGACGTCTGAGCCCCTACAATTTCACACATCCAAATGTTTATACAATTTAATTCCACAAAGATTTGAGCGTTGATGGGATATACAACTTCATTTCAAATATCCAAACCAATTTACGATTTAAGCTTTGATGGGACATACAACTTCATTTCAAATATCAAAAGCCAATTTACGATTTAAGCTTTGAAGGGACATACAACTTCATTCCAAATATCCAAACCAATTTATGAATCCCAGATTCTAAATTGATGAATTTTCCTTGTTTTCTTTCGAGCGAAACAAATTAAATATATAATAGAGAGAGAGAGAGAGAGAGAGAGAGAGAGAGAGAGAGAGAAACCCAAACCTTTTGAAGCTGAAAGGAGAAGAAAGACCGCGAGAGTATAATAGGTAGAGAGAGAGAGAGAGAGAGAGAGAGAAACCCAAACCTTTTGAAGCTGAAAGGAGAAGAAAGACCGCGAGAGTTAAGAGAGGCACTGACGAGTAGGGGTGGTTCGGTATGGGATACTATACCGAAACTAGTATCCCAAATTTCAAACCGAAAATTTTTAGGAAGAAAATTTAAAAACCAATTCCAAACTAAATTTTCGGGAATCCCAAATTTCAGGAATCCCGAAATATTTTTGGAATTTCGGGACAAATCAGGAATCCCAAATTGAAATATGAAATTATGAATTGTTCTTCAAATATATAATTCAAGAACACATTCATGAACTAGGAATGTCATTTCATTCACACTACCATTTAATCGAACACTGGCATGCCTGACTGTTTTTATCAGAGTCAAATTTCAAATTAATTAAACCCTTTTTACAATCTATTGAGAGACAAAAGAATCAAGCATTCTGAAATCATCAGCCATTGTAATAGCAATAATAAAATCCAAATAAATATCAAACACAACATGAAAAATATGCAAGTGTAGGGCATTCCAGGTTGCAGAGCATGAATTAGAAACTACTAGATCAATTATAAAAGAATAATATATATAATATGTATGTATAAATATATATATAAAATAATTAATATTATATATTTCGGTTCGGTATGGGATTCCCGAAATATGTATAAATATATATATATAAAATAATTAATATTATATATTTCGGTTCGGTATGGGATTCCCGAAATATCGAGACGCCAATCTCGAATCCTGTACCGAAATTTCGGGATCGGTTCGGGATAGCATCCCAAAAATTTTGGGAATTTCGGTTTGGGAAATTTTTGGTTTGGAATTGGGATTGGGATTTTTTCGGTTCGGTTCGGAATTTTTTGGAATTTTTTCCACCCCTACAGATGAGTCCGAGAAGAAGCTATAGGGTTTGAATGACGTAATCGATATCTTAACAACTTCATTGGTACGTAGTGTTTTTCGTTTTCATGTTGTTTTCGTGACATAATCGATATCTGAACAAGTCATGTCGTATATGTTAAAGTAAACGAGTAATATAATCTGATTCGAAATTGATCAGTTAATATTATCAGGTAATATAACTAGACCCGTTATCCGTTAAAAAATATATTTTAAATCAATAAATAATGAAAATAAAAAACATAATTTGATCCAAAAAAATATAAAACATAATTCTAAATTAGTATATGCATACCCAATTATCACATAATATTTACTTCCAAACAAAAACATTTGTGTTTTAAGTATTATATAATCCAAAATAAGAGTCTAATGAAAAACATTAGTAATTACTATAAAATACCTAATGTTCAAGGATACGCAAAATGAAGGGAGTTGCGTTTTAAAGTTGAAAAACCTTTTACGTTTATATATGCTTTCACATTTTGAATTCCCTTAAAAGTACTATTCATGAGGGTTTGTATGGTTTTAAAATTTAAACGACGATGTACCCATACTCAAGGTGTAGAGGAAGCGATCACGAGCCTGCACATATTTTTTTTCACAGTTTTCTCTCTTGTAAATTAATTATTATAATTTTTTTTATGTGTTTGTTATTTTTAAATTATTTGATACTTTTATTTTAATATGTTTTATAATTTTTTGATCTCACTCCTTGCTGGTAGTATACTATAAAAATAAATAAATAAATAAAACTTAAAGTGCTACGATTGGAACCACATATTGTGGTCTGTACGACAGGGCTGGGTGTAAATAAGTACGCTAAAGTGCTACGATCACGTGAAGGTTGTGCGATAAATTGCGAGTCACCTACGAGTCGGAACCACCTATTGTAGTCTGTACGACAAGGCTATGTACTAAACTTGGATCCAAGGTGAGCATGCGGTGTGGGAGGTGAACATCACGTGAAGGACTGTGCCCTGGCCACGGGCGGGAGCACTAACATCGGGGTGTAGGATAATGAGCTCTAAATGCATCTACGTATAACCATACACAATGCAACCACCATTATCATAATGTACTCACCTGAAACTTACTTGGGTCTCCGCAACATCATTCAATAGTATACAAAACTATTCTAATGCAAATACTAAAATATAATCCATCCTTGACATGGCATTTGAATCGTAAATTCATTTAAAAATAGTTTCTGGAAATCGTAAAGCATATATTTATATATTTAGAAAACAGAAGCCCATTCACCTGGAGTCCTCACTACAACTCCCTAGCACAAACATCGATGCATCACAAACAATCGGCTCCTAGAACAATTATCAAACCACATATCAGAATCCTTATCGATAGAACATGTAACTTACGTAAAAAAAACATCCCTAAGGGTGTTCTAGAATCATTTGGGGCCCATTGATCAAAAGTCAATCGTCAGTAGGGTCCACAACCCTGCGTAACTCGATCCAGAAGATCCGTAAATCAGATTTTCAATCAGTAACTTCCAAAGATCCACATTATGTTTCTAAAACATCATACTAAAATTTCATTATGATCCAACGGTTGGATCTCCGCCAAATGCAAATTCAAGTGGCGATTAATGTTTTTATGAACTTACAAATCCAATTTGGGAAGATCCGCATGTCAGATTCCTGATTTGTAAGTTCCAGCTATCCTCAAATATTATGTTCTACAATGTATTAAATTTTAGTAACGATCCAACGGTTGGATCATCGATTCATATAATAATCAAGTGGTGTACCTTAATCAAACTGGGTTCACAATAATCAAATCACGTCATACGGATATCAAATCTGAGATCAAGATATGAATTTAGCGTAGAATAGCATTGGTGGCCCACAGGCCATGCGTCGCCGCACATGCCGTCGCAGGTGGCGGTGGGCCGCCCTGATTCGCCGAAAAATTCAACTATTTCCAAACATTCTCAAACTTTACAAAAATGAAGATCTCAGTGAGAGGAACAACTTTCATACCTGTGACTAAGGCCAATTCGGCCGAGAAACACCTCAAATTCCCCTCGATCCGCCAGAAACCTAATAAAGAGTGAGCTTCGAATCGACCTCCATACGTGCTCCAACGCCTCCACCATTGTTTGGGCTTTGTTCTTGACCTCCAGAGATAGTGGTGATTGAAGATAATCATTTCAAAAATGGGTGGATTGCTGTCAGGTGCCCTCGAAGCCAACGACTTCGGTTCGTTGTGAAACAAAGCTCAAAACATCTAAGATTTGATGGAGAAACAAAGATAAAAGATCTCTGGGTTGATTTATGGTGGTGGAGAGCTGCAAAACGCCCCAAAACCCAACGAAATCTTGTTGGAAAATGGCGCCAGGAACCGGGTCATGGTTTCGAAACGGGTCAGGGGTCCGATCTGCTACCCCCTTAACCCTCTCCTTTTCCCTCCTTTTTCTCCTTTCCCATTGGTTCTTTCCTTTTCTCCCTTTCCTAATTGATCT